TTCCTGGTCCCCGGCCCTAATGGGGAGTGCCCTCTATCACCATGATAAGCAAAAACTTTCCCTCCCAGGCATTTCTAGCCCTTCTCCCCCAGAGGGTGTGCTGGCCCCCGTTGAGAACCACTGAGAACGCCCCTCAGTGAAGAGCTGCAAGGAGACTGACGCACAGAGTTGTGAAGGAGTTGGTTTCAGTTCACAAAAGTCCTTTTAAACATGGATCTCAACCTGTATCTCCCTGTCTCTTTAAGAAACACAGGAAACAACCTGACTGTTCTGTGTGGAAAGTGCTTTAAACACTCCCAGGGGAGCAGAGTAAGAGAAAGGACTCGTGGGTGGAAGGGTAGGGGAGCCCCTGTTTCCCTCTTCACACTCTGTCTCAGCTGACACCAGTGCAGTCATTGCTACTTGCCTTCCACTCAGCTGACTCTTTTTGTCAACCCAATGACACCGATCCTCCTTTCCAGAAGGATTATTCAGACAAGTGCAAAAATGGAGAGGAATGCAGGGCTGGAAGGAGCTCCAGCTGCAGGGAGGAGGTGGATGGGGGTATAAAGCCACTAAAATAAAGCCACTAAAATTACCCATGCACAGGCTGGGGCTGAGCTCCCACAGCTGGTGGGCCTCTTGCCTGTTATGGTAATTTTCCACCCTTTGCGCCACTCCCAAGCTTCATTATGGCACCCAACACATTTAGAAGTGACTTGATGGCCTTAAGTAATGGTGAAATAATAACACAATGACAGAGTCACCAAACTCTTCCTAGACCTGACCATTCTACAGTAAGTAGGATGCCCAGAGCTTGGTGGAGTTATTGGGTCATAACCAAATTTGTCCCTTTCTCGTTTCCACGTCAAAAGCAAGATTCCCCAGAGAAAAGCCTGCTTGGCGAAGGCCACAGGTAGAAGCTGAAAATCTGCTTTTCTCCAGACGCACCTGCGGGAACCAGGTGTCCTGGGTTCTAGTCTGCAGCAATGGCAGAAGCTGGGATCTGGAGCAGGAGGGAGGCGTTTGTGCTTCCGTTCCTCTTGTCCACCGCTCGCAGCCCTTCCTTCTCCTCTCATCTCCTGCATCTCTCTCCTCCCACTTCCTACATAGTAGCCCCTGTAATCCCTTACCCAGCCCTGCAGCTCAGAAGTCAGGACTTAGGAAGAATTGGGGAGAGTGTCTTCTCTCCTTGTGACACCTCTATCCATTTTGAAACTTCAGCCAAGATATTTGCCCTCTAGATTCCCCTCTCAACCTCCAAACACTGGGAAAAGAGAAAAGAAGTGACAAGGGCTACCACCACCAGGAATAACCATGGTCCTACTGGATTTGCTCAAACAAAATTGTCCACAGGAACCCACAAGCCACTGGGCTCCCTGGATGGTCAAGCACTTCCAAGGCTACCTGGCTCTAGTCATGAAAAAAAAAATCCTCAAATACTGACCCATTGGAAGGAGTTTACGAAGGAAGACTCTTGGGACTCAGTGTTCTGCCCAGGAGAAAGGGCTGTGGGGAAGGGGCATGGGTCTGGGGGATTAGGGGGCTGGTTGTGGCCACTCTTAACCATTTTTAAATAGTAAATGTTTTCACTGAACCATGAGTCATGACCTCTGCACTCCTGGGGACTGCCCTGCTGGTCTGGGATGCACTTCGGGGCAAGGAGGGAGGAGAGTGATGGAACTGAATCTCCATCTTCCCGCAGGTCTTCCTTCCTGACCCTCCAGTGACTACTGCCCTCACCCCAGTCCTCCTCTCCACTCCCAGGCCCACTCCCATGCTTCAGATGGGCAGGAGAGCAGAGGGCAAGTGGGCCTGACATGAGAAGGTGGCTTTGCACTCACAACCGTGGCAGTCTACCAGCTGTCTTCTGCAGGTGCAGGCTTGGTCGCTTGCCTTGGCTGTATGACAAAGTAGCCAGAGATTAGGCTACGGGCACAGGCTGGGGATGACTGAGAACCAGGTTTCTCTATCTGGCCCCCAAGAAAATGGCCAGCTGGGCTCCTCCCAGAGTGACCAGTGGGGCCCAACCTCGGGGGCCAGGCCAGGGTCACACCGTCTGACTTCACCTCAGCAACCTCATTATCCCAAGGCCCAGGCAAGACCAAGCAGGGCTGAGCCCCCGAATCATGCTCAATGGCCTCCCCTGCCCCTCTCAGCAGACCCCATACCTTCATCTTGATATTCTGTTATTTTTTAAGGTCAACCCCCAAGTCAGCTCTCCCATTCTGATTGCTCAAACGGTGGATCTCCAAGTGTGGTCCCTGGACCAGCAGCATCAGCATCCCCTGGGAACTTGTTAGGACAGCACGTTTTCAGGCCACACCCAGATCTGAGGAATTAGAAACCCTGGGGGAGGCCCCGGCAATCTTGCTTTAACAAGCCCTCGGTGATTCTAGGCTTGCTCAAGTTTGAGGACAGGGTTTAGGATCCTTCTCTCTCTCCTCAGCTGGGCCCCCAAGCTGTGTGCAGCCCCTTTGTCACCCTGTACTGATAACCCACCTCTCTTCCTCACTCCCGTAGATGACTCAGCCCCCTTCACCGGCAGGAAAAAAGCCATTTAATGTACAGCCCGCCAACTTCTGCCTCCTCATCTGCCTCACACCCTCCCTGATTTCCCCCCTTCCTTTGCTCCCACCCTCTTAACAGCTGTCTTCTGCAGGCACAGGCTGCCCCTTCACACTCCTGATCCATTCTCTCTCTCTCTATTCCTTCCCCATTGCCTCTTCTGGTTCTTCTTCTGGCCTACTCAGGGCCTTGACGTCACTTCTTCTTCTCTTCTCTCTTCTTTCTTTCCTTACAAATGTATCCAGCTAATGTCTCAACTGTCACTTCTAAGTAGACGGCTCTAACATCATTATCTCTACTCCCCGGCTTGCTCAAACTCCGGAGCTGCATTTTCAACAGCTTCTAGGACCCTCCCCCAGATGCCTAAAAAGCACCTCAAATTCCACAGCCCAAACTCAAGCTTGCCTTCTTCCTCCACTCTTCTCAAACCACCACTATCACCACCACCACTTAGCTTATCATGCTGACTTTTGTCTCCACAACCAGGCTCTAAGATCTTATTGCCTTTACCCTTCCTGGGCAATCACAGTAACTTTTTCTGGTTAAAAATTTAACACGCCTTAGACTGAAAAGTTCCTGTGGATCCAGGTAAGATGGATCCAACAGGAACCGTCTTAAAAGCCAACTGCTGCCATTCCGTGCGTAAATCCATCAGGTGGAACGCTTGGGGTTTCGTGTGCTCCAGACTCCAGAGTCTAGAGGGAAGAGCAGAACTTTATGGCCTGTTCAGTGTTTGCTGAAGACTGGGAGCTCCTAAGGGAAGGACGCAGCCCTCCAGGGGCAGAAAGGACAATAAATCAGATTAAAGGGCCCTCCCCACCCCTGCTTCATGAGCAATCAGATTCCTATTTCTGGGTCACTCACTCTATTCTAAATGACCCTCTGGGGAGGGTTTACATGTTCATAGTCCCCTGAGACAACTGCTACTTTGTTCAGAGAAAGCAATGAACAGATGTCTGAATCAGAGAGGACAGCTGGGGTTAGGGTCAGGTCAAGGGTCAAAGGCAGTGGTCAACATCAGGGGCAGGATTAGGGTTAGAGGCCATGTGTGAAACGTTTGAAGCTGTCCTGCTCCCTAACAGGACAAACCTATGCTGAAGCCATGCTAATCTCCAGCTTCTCTTGCTCCAGGAGCACCCAGCCCTCCCCCAGCATCATCCCTCCCCTTTCAAAGCCTGGACTCCAGTCGTTTTAGCCAAGGCCTTCCTGGCTGCAGATGCTGAACCCTGGGACTGGCAATAGGAAGTGGAATGGAGACAAACAGGGAACCTCCCTTGGAACTGACAATACTTCATGCTGTTGTATTCTTCTAAAAACAGAACGAATACTCCCCCCTCTGCCACATTCCCAGGGTCAGGGGACAGGGGTTTTAGCCCCAGGTCCATCACTGACCAGCTCTACAAGACAGCACCAGATAACACATCTTTCCTGGGTCCTTGTTTCTTCATCTGAAAAGGAAAACTGTAAAACTCTCCCTGTTTACTCTCCAGGATGGATGTGACAACAAGAATATACTGTGTAAAAGCAGTTCACATTAGCAAATCACTCTCGTTACACTTTCTGACTCACTCCTTAGAAACACCTGGTGAGACAGGCAGGGAAAGCATCTTTGACGGAAGATGAAACTGAGGCTCTCTAAGGGTTGCCCAGGCTGCAAGGCTTGTGTGCAGCAGAGCCAGGGCTCATGCTGGACCTCTGCACACTGTACCACATGGTCCCCAGCATGGTAAGGACGTCGTGTGACACAGCATGCTGCTGTTACTAATACAAGCATTATTTTTTTTCCAGTGTAATTATGGCCCAAATATTTGCTAGTGGATTATCACTGGTTACTCCAGGCATCCTCAGCATTTCCAGTCTGTCATTTCTTAAGTGGGTCACTTTGACCCAAGAAGTAGGTGTGGAATCACTACCTTCAGGGCTAAAACAGGGGAGGGTAGAGTCAGCCAAGGAAGAGGATGAGACTGGGTATTTCTGATCCATCCCCAGAGGGCGATCACACTTTCTGCTGGGCACAGAGGGGTACAGGGTTTTAGGAAAGTTCATCAATGGCAACAATCCCATCATTGGGGTGAGAGAACTTAAGTGTGGAAAGGTGACATGACGTGCTTAAGGACACGTAGCTCCTAAGTAGCTGAGCCGGCTCCAGACTCAGGTTTCCTAATTCTAAGCCCAGTACTCCTTCCATGCTGCCAGGATTTCGGGGTATTCTTCATCTCATGCTGCCTGGGGCTTATTCCTCCATCTGTGTCTACAGCTGACAGTCAGTAGCGTAAGAGCAATGGGAGTGATGCGCATGGTGGATCTTTTCCCTAAGAGAAGCCCCCTGAATAAGGGGCAGTCCTCTTGGAGATATCTGTCTGGTTCAAATGACATGCCTTAGACATACCTTTGTCCCCATGGGCCAGGAGAGCTTCATGAATGTGTATTGGGAAAGAGGAAATGCTACTCACGACTTGTCTCGCCTGCCGAGCCGTCTCGGGGGGCTTGCCTGTCTCCTTCGGGGCGACAGGGATTTCCCTCGGCTTCTCACTTGGGTTGGAGAGTGGGCACTTGCAGGTTTCAGGATCTGAAGGAGATAGGAGGAGTTACCGTACTGCTTCCTAACAGATCCTACTCTCAGGTCCTCCTACAGCACAGCATCCCAGCCCCAGCCCACTCATGATCCCATGGTTTAACAGGCGCTGAGCTGGAAGATCTGAGACACATGTTCCTCTCTCCTTCTGCACTGGCAAGAGGCAAGAGTGCCACTTCCCAAGGGTGGCATGATCACACTGTGCCCCTATTCCTATGGCAGAGAGAGGAGCAGAGCCCAGTTGCTCAGCCTCCTGGGGCCACGTTTGGTTGCTCAGCAAGTTCCTCTCTTGTGCAGGCAGAGTCCCACATGCATTGCTCCAGAAACCAGCTTGTTCTTCCTCTGGCTCTCCCACCCCCCAACACACACACAGCATGGTTTCAATTTATCATGAATCTCCATTCCAGGTCCCAGAGTGAAGAGGACAAGTCCTCAGGTGCTAAATATAACCAAAGCTGAGGTCAGCATAATCCCTGTCCCCTGTGGTCCTCAGTGTCTGCACAGGAGTTCTGTCAGTGACTCCACAAGCCCTGAAGGGACAAGGACCAGCAGGCATCTTGTCACTTTGGAAATGACACGGTAGAAAGAAGAAAGACTTATGAGTATAGTTTATATAAAGCCAGCACAGTGAAGGCTTTCTAATTTGCTATTGTGACACCAGGTCAGAATTTTATGTCAAGGGGCTTTGCAACTTATAAAGGAAAGCAGAGATATAATGTGACTCTGAAATAGATTATAAACAGAGTGACTCATTCATCCTGATTTGCCCAGGACTTTCCTGGTTTTAAGTACTGACTATCTCATGTCCTGGGAAACTGGGGTGACTGGTCACCCTATTATGAAGACAAAACAGAGCAAAACAAAACTAGAACCTTAATATAAAATGACTGACATTTTAGATTTGATTTCATAGAAGGAATTGCAGGCCAAGACATAACATTTAAATTGACTTTAGCTCTGGTTTTTGAAGTAGCATGTGCAAAGAGGGACTGTATATCAAATAGAGAATGACTTTCCTTTTGTTTTAATAGAGTGGCCACTAAGCAAGATGCCCTCAAGAAACTTTGACCATCCCAGAATATGGGGCATGGGGCAAGAGGAAGAGAGAGAGAAAGGGGAAACAGCTCTCTTGCATTGTTTAATTGCCTTCCCAGTACCTACCTTCATTCTCATGTCCCTGGCATATTTTTCCAGCTCCTTCCTTATATCAGCCCTCAACATCTTTGAGACATTAAGGACCAGCTGCTTCCACTCAATGGGCTGGAAGCTATGAGGCTCATGGGGGACGTACAGCCCAATCTTGACCTTCTTGACTGTGTGCAGGTATTTCTTGTAGGAGTCTTCAAAGTCAAAGATGAGGTCACTCAGAGTCCGAAAGGTCAACGGCTTGTCCATCAGCTCAGCCCTTCGGCTCATGCCCAGCGAGCCATAGCGGCCGTTGCAATAAATCCCCAGCACAACATGGTGAAAGTAGTTTCCTGAGAAGTAGGTTTTAAAGCTGATGGGGAATCGCTCAATGGAAGGCTGTCCATTGGTTAAGTATCTGAGACAATCTGAGTCAAGGAGGAGAAAGGAGGCTTTGACAATCCACAGAGCTTGGACTCCCAGGAAGGGACAGTGGCCCATAGGGTCAGTGAGTCCATCCCTCTGCCTCTGAGCAGGCCCACCTCTAACTTTTCCAGACTGATTCCCTTCTAATAGATTCACTCAATGTCTTTGGGTACCTACTGTATGGTACATCCCAAAGCCAAAGTAACATGGGACAAAGAGGAAAAACTTGCCATCTCTAGTAATTAAATAAATGCAAAACAAAACAATAACAAAGTACTTTAACCTCCCTCAGTTTTCTACAGGGGTTGATGAGACATTAAAGTTTTTTTTATGCAGTCAAAATCATGTTCTCAGACATTAATTCTGCCAGGAGTGTGTGGAACAGACCAAGAATTGAAGGCCTCTGCCAATGGTCCAGGGGAGAAACAACAACTAGAATCAAGACAAAGGATTGGAGATGTGAGAGAGACAGGATGGTTGACTATCTGGATGGGAAGGGAGAGAAAGGTGTCAGAATCCGTGATACCCGCACCTTGTCTGCTCCTCTCATTGGCCCGGGGCACACCCAGGCCAGCAACCTTGGCTACCACACAGAAAGCTGCCCGCAGCTCCTGCACCTCAGGCTCCCCTCAGTCCCCAACCCACTTAGTGTCACCGCTCGGCTCTCTCCACACACTGGCCCATTTGCACTGAGTAACCCAGCCTCTTACCGTTACCTCAGTTTGGGTCCAGCAGCCCCCTAGGGTGCAGCTCCAAGTAATTGCCCCGCTGACTCCACACACTAGAAGAATGGACAAGAGGCACCACATCTTCAAGTCCATCTCAAAGTCCCCAGACAGCCCTGGCAAGGCCATGGTGACCCAAGGGTGTAGCTTGTCTGGAGTGGGATATTGGGAACTCATAATAAACTCTGCTGAAAATCTTTGGTGACTCCAGTCTTTCTACCAAATAATAATCCAGGTTCTTAACATTATGCATGGAAAGTGCTCAGTAAGTGGGTACTGTTCTCCACACTCAGAATTTGTCTTCACCATGTCTTGCCCTCACTCCAATTTACTTTCCACACAGTGGCCAGAATGATCTCTGTAAGCCAAGATTTGGTACACGCCATTCTTCCGCTTAAGTTTTCAGTGTCTCACATCTTCTCCAGGACTTGGTTCAAATCCCTGAGCCAAGTGCTGCCATGATTTAGGTCCTTCTCATCTCTCCTTGTGCAGTCTCATTTCCCCACACCCTGGGCTAGCACACTGACCTCCAGTAGACCCCTGACATTTTCGCAGGAAACTCCCTGAGACCACAAAGAATCCACAGATCTATGCCCATGCCCTCAGCACATATATTTCCCCATAATATGAAGTCAAATATCATTGAAAATTTTAAATGATCTTTATAAGCTATGAGACCAAAGTGATCCATGAAACTTTCAAAAATATGCTAGTAAACACACTCCACACTACATTATGTCCCTATCATAGTGTAACTACTTCTTTTTTTTTTTTTTTGAGGAAGATTAGCCCTGAGCTAACATCTGCTGCCAATCCTCCTCCTTTTGCTGAGGAAGAGTGGCCCTGAGCTAACATCTGTGCCCATCTTCCTTCACTTTATATGTGGGACACCTACCACAGCATGGCTTGCCAAGCGGTGCCATGTCCACACCTGTGATCCGAACCGGTGAACCCTGGGCCCACAAAGCAGAATGTGCGCACTTAACCGCTGCGCCACCGGGCTGGCCCCTCATAGTGTAACTTCTTTTATAGCTTCACTCACACATCAGACTTATAGTGCGGGGGATTCAAACCTGGCCAAGATCTTTGGGGTCTCATAAGAATCATGAGTGATAAGGATGCTATGGGCTTATTCTCTTTACACAGGCTGTACCTCGACTGGAACAGCCTCACTACTATCGCCTCCCCTTTCCTGGGGCTGATACCTTCCCTGACCTTCCTCAGTGTGAGTTAAGTATCCCCTCTTCCCCGACAAGAGCTCCCCTAGCACTTGGTGCTTAATCATCAGGCAGTGTCATTGTTTTTTTTGTATCTTGTGAGGTCAGGAGTTGTGTTTTGCATCTTGGTATCCCTGGGCACAGCACAGGCCTGGCACACAGAAGTGCTTGGTTCATGCTTGCTGAAACAATGAACCTTAGATTGGAAGACATATTTCCTTAAAAGGACTTCACTCGGTGAGGGGGCAAACGCAGATACCCTTAAAGATACCCTTAAAAGAAAGAAGCTGGTAGAACCCAGCCCACAGCCCTGAGGTCAGCTTTGTCCTCTGCCCTCAATTTAATCACAGATGGCTCCTTTCCATAATGGTTATCTGCTTGCTCTTCACTTCATTGTGTGAGATTAACTGACAGTGAGGGAGTGAAATCACGTCCTTCTGAGTCCTCTTACCTAAATTCTTACTTGCTTTCTGGGGCGAGTTCTCTGGGGCTGGAATGAGGGCGTTCCCTAGTTGTCTAAGTCAGTGTAACAAACACTTACTGAGTGAGTATCTCCTGTGCCGGACAGTCTGCTAGGAAGGGCTGTGGAGCCAAAGATGAAGACTGCAGCCCTTCTCTGGGAGTGTGGTGGGGAGACAGACTCAAAATGACACAATATAATCAGTACGGCAGTTCCTCCAAAAAATAAACATAGAATTGCCATATGATCCAACAATTCCACTTCTGGGCATATACCCCAAAGAATGAAAATCAGGAACTCAAACAGATACTTGCACACCCATGTTCTTAGGAGCATTATTCACAATAACCAAAAGGCGGAAACGACCCAAGTGACCACCAGTGGATGAATGGATAAACAAAATGTGGTATATACATACAATGGAATATTATTCAGCCTTAAAAAGGGAGGAAATTCTGACACTCGCTACAACATGGATGAACGTTGAGGACATTATGCTAAGTGAATAAGCCAGTCACAAAAGGGCAAATACTGTATGATTCCCCTTTATGAGGTACCTGGAGTAGCCAAATTCATGGAGATAGAAAGTAGAATGGCAGCTGCCAGGGACTGGGAATCCTGTGTTTAATGGACATGGCATTTCAGTCGAGGAAGAGGTAGTTCTGGAGATGGAAGGTGGCCACAACTGCACGACAGTGTGAATGTTCCTAACGTCGCTGAACTCCACACTTAAAAATACTTAAAATGGTAAATTTAGCTATGAATATTTTACCACAATTTTTTTAAAAACCCTCATTTGCAATATATTTATGTCAAGTCATTATGCTGTACACCTTATATTGATACAGTGCTGTATGTCAACCATATCTCAATAAAACTGAAAAAAAAGTGATGTGTGCTGTAAAAGAGGCAAGCCCATGACCTCAGGGAGGGCAGAGAAGAGGCCTCAGTGCACCCACACTGGAATTAGTCTTACAGGGCAAGTCAGCCAAGTGAGAAGAGGGAGTGGGGAGAGGACCCAAGAGACCGCCAGTCCATCCTGTCACAAGTCACCAATTGCTAGGGTTTGTTCCATTATTAAGGCATTCTGCAAAGCCGTGGGACCTGAAGCATCTGGGAACAGAGAGGGAGGGATCAAGGAAGTGTGGACGAGGGCAGGGAAGTGGCCTGAGCTTTCCTAGGGAAGCGGGAGCAGCAGTACCCCAAGCTCCTGGAAGACCTGCTGGGAATCCAGCCTGCTGGGGATATGCCTAACTGCCTCTACTGTTGAACATATTACTTGAAAAAAACCATAGCACTTTAGTTTCAGGATTGAGCCCCACCAGGGTGAGTGAGGCCCCCAAAAGAGCTGCCATGATTTGGAAAATAATTTGGACCCAAAGGTCTGTCTCTCCAGCGTGCATGTGCAAATACGCACACGCACTCAAACAGGATGAAGTGGCTCTTCACAAATAAATCTTGATCTCAAACAAGACAAAACAGGGCAGGACAAGCCAACGGAGACAGGCTTCCAAGCAGCAGCCAAGCTGACCTGTTTCAAAGTTGTCAAGGCCCCACTTGTTTCTCGGGACCTGCGAAAGGGCCAATGGGAGACAGACAGACGATGCGAGTCATGTCCTTCATTCTGCCCACGAGGACAGCAGGCCACAGAGATGCTGACACAGAGCAAAGACAAAGATGCTCTAACTTTCAGAACTCAGGTCTGAGTTTCTTGTCTGCGTGCAAGAGTCAAATTTCCCTGAGTTTGGCAGTGTGAGCCGAATTTCTCCACCCTCCCCACCTTCCTGGCACTTTTCTGAAATGTCAAACCAGCAAGAACAAAGGAAAACCAAGAGCACACTATCCTCTGATTTGGACAGGCCCAGAGGCTGGCGCAGGTCTATCCCCCACAATCCTGAGAGGCTTTAGGTCATTTAGGTAAAGTAGAGTAATGCTTGGATTTATAAAACAGCACAGGGACGAGACTATTGTGTACAGGACTGTCGCGTCAAGCAAGATGACCTCTGTCAGGTGCACTCAGACCTCCGTCAGCGAAGGGTCTGAAGGGAGCTGGTCCCCCAGTGAAGCGCCTGTGCTGGTGTTCGCCCTCACTGATCTCCGCCAGCAAATCCCTGACAGTTGTTCACCCCCACTAAACTTGCAGGAGGCTCTGTCCACCAGCTGTGGCTGACTCCTGCCACGAAACGATGGGGCCCAGAGCCATCTGCCGTCCCCACCCTGTCCTGCCCTTCTGCTGGGCTCCCCAGGCACACGTTTCACCTCCTTTCTGGGGAGCAGGGAGGAGCTATGACACGAGGGCTGGGGAAGGGCCACAATCAGACTTAAGTTTCCATTTTTCAAATGTCAGCCTGGGCACCTGTGGACAATCTTGTTTCAGATCAGGGCTGCCTGTGTCCTGCAGACTGCAGAGGGGCGGAGGCTCCCCTTCCCACGAAAATGTTCAGGAGACCAGGAAAACAGACTAGACCCAGCCTACTGCCCCTGTCTGATTCTGAGCCCCCTCTCCTGCTGACTTCTGCATCTTCTTTCTCTCCTGGTTTTCCCTCTACCTCTCTAACTTTCCTTCTTAGTCTCTGTCATGGCCTCTTTGTGTCCAGCTAGACCAAAAAGCAATGGGATTTCGTCCTTTTCTTTTTCTCTTCTCACTCCTTGAACACCAACTACCACCTTCTAAACACTCACAGCTCCCAAATTTTTATCTCTAATGCAGAGCTCTCTCCTGAGCTCCACACTCCAAATACCCCACCCCGACATCCCACAGGCACCTCAGTTCAACATGACCACAAGTGAACTCATCTCCCCACAAATCTGACCCTCCCCTTTAAGTCTCTCCCTTGGACTATGGCACTATTGTCCAATCACCTAGTTTGTGATTGCCAGAATATGGGGTCATCACCTCTTTCTCCTCACATCTAATCAGTCCACAAATGGTGCTGATGACACCTCCAACTCCTTCCCTCCACCTTCATTGCCACTATGTCAGTTCAGGTCTGGGCTGAAGTGTCTCGCCCCTCTGTCACTCTCATCCCTCCAGCCCAATCCAGAAGCCTGTATTTGTTGACTCCTTCCTCATTAACTCCTGCACTCAGTTGGCCTCCAAGTCCTGCAAATTTTATCTCCTTGAGATCTCTTGAAACTGTCCCCTCAAAACTATTCCCATCACCAGGACCATGACTCAAGCATTGCTACACCCCTCATGTAACAGCTCCTAACAGGCTTTGCAGATCCAACCCCAGCTTCCTCCTGTCTGCCCTTCAATCTGCCCTGAAAGCGACCTGTCTCAAGTGCACACCTGATCATGTCATGCCTCTGTTCCAGAGCTTTCATCTGGGCTGCCCATTACCTTTTGGAAAAAGGTCACAGTTCTCAGCATAGCACTCAAAGACCTAATTGGTCTTACCTGGGACGACCTCTCAAGCTCACCTCTTGCTCTGCTCCCTTGGTCACTGTTCCTTCCAGCCATCTGCCCTACAAGACTGGGAGTTTCTTTATTCTTCTATCAGATCCTGCTCTACTGTCATTACCACTAATCAGTTAGTGCCATCACAGTTTTTCTGGGCCATATTCCCTTCAGCCTGAGGAGCCATAAGTCTGGTGGAAAATGGAATAGAAAGTGTAGGAGAGACCAGACCCTTGTTTCAGCTCTCTGTTCTGTAGAGTCAGGACACACCACCATAGCTTGGTCTCCTCCACAATCCACTCTTGGAATCTTCCCTGGAGATGGGTCTGGATAATCCTATTTTCCCTTGAGTGTTTCCTTGAATTTTGCTTGTGTCTAGTGAGCCTGGCCTGAGAGCTGGCCCTGATACAGGCTTCAGCCAACAGGTTCGCTGACGATGGTCCAAGTAGCCAAGCTCTGATTGGGTTCAACTCCAGATGGTGAAAGTTAAACAGAAGTTAAAGGGGAGCTTCACACTGTAAGGAGACAGCAGCCATCACCTCTATGGATCTGCAGTGTTAAAGGCACAACCAGCCCCAGAGTGAGGCCACCATGTATATCTATCTATATCTATATCTTACAGAGTAAACTTAAGCATACATAACAACTTAAAGGATACATGCCCAGGATGACAGCTTCAAGGCATTTGATAGGCAAGGACTCTCGAGTCATTTCTTTTGCTGTTTCCATCAACCTGTGGGATAGAACACAGCAAAGGATCTCAGGAATTACATAATTATGCAGTCGGTCTGACCATCGATCCATTAGCATGCTTGTCTCCACACTAGGCACCATGCAGAAAGAGGGAAAGGGGAGAAGTCACCTCGCAGGTGGGTGCTAGAGCACATCACACCTGGCAGAACTAAATTCCTAAATTCTCCACTCCTCTCTCCAAGAGTTAGTTCTGAGAGGTTAGTGCCCACAATTCCATTCTGTTTTCCTCCCCCACCCCGTGAAAGAGTTAGTCTCTACCACCGAGCCAGCTGTCAGAGTGGCCCAGACCTCAGCCCCACTCCAACCTGGCCCTGGGGCCGCCCCGCCCCCACCTCACCCTGTACAGACCAGGGTTTCGGAGCACTGAGATACAGGGATAGAAGGTGGGCGAGGGAGTCGGCAGCTCTCAGGTAGCAGAGAGGTCACCTGGCCCACAGATCATGCACCACTTACCCACTCAGCGGTCTCATTTTCCTAATTTCAAAGAACTGGGTCCCTGTATGATTGTATCTGTGTGAAGTATGTAAAGGGAAAGTGACAGAAAACTCCAAAGGTCCCAGTAATCCAGCAGAGGAAGCTGTGCATCAATTTCTCAAAGGGATGAGAAAGTGGGGGCTTTCCAGAAGGTGTCCAGCAGCCAATAGCCTCTTACTCTTCACTGTCTTGCCCTGTTAATCTAATTTCTAACTTAGGCCCGAAAGCACCCTGGACCTTTATAATAGCTATTTTCAATCTACTCTGCATTCTCTTTAGTTGAATATGTGTCCTAATTCCCCTACTAGACTACAAGCTCTTTGAGGGTTGGGATCATGTATTTATCATCTTTATATCACTCATAAAGCTGGCACAAGCCCAACATATTCCAGTTAGCAAATATTATTAAATGAATGAAGAATAAGTGAACAAATGAGAGGACAGATGGATGGATAAATGGGTGGATGGGTAGAAGGGTGGATGAATAGATGGATGGATAGATAGAAGGAAGGAAGGATGAATGAAACTGATGAAAGGATGGATGGAAAGCTGGATAGATGGATGGAAAGAATGGAAGGGTGGATGGATGGATGGATGGATGGATGGGTAGATGGAGGGAAGGATGAATGGAATTGATGGAATGGAAGGATGGATGAATAGGTGGATGGAAAGCTGGATGGATGGATAGATAGAAGGGTAGGTGGATGGAGGGATGGAAGGAATGGAAGGGTGATGGATGGAAAGGTGAATGGATGGCAGTAGGGTTTCTCAATAGTGCACAGACTGTAACAGAGCTTAGTATGGAGACATCACTTTCTTTCTTTTTTTTTTTTTTTTTTTTTGAGAAAGATTAGCCCTGAGCTAACACCTGCTGCCAATCCTCCTCTTTTTGCTGAGGAAGGCTGGCCCTGAGCTAACATCCATGCCCATCTTACTCTACTTTATATGTGGGACGCCTACCACAGCATAGCTTGCCAAGCTGTGCCATGTCTGCACCTGGGATCTGAACCCACGAACCCCGGGCCACCGAAGCAGAACAGGCACACTTAACCGCTGCACCACTGGGCCGGCCCCAAGACATCACTTTCATTTCATGCCTGGACTGACACTTGACATTGATTACTAAATCTAAGATGACATCATTATCCACATCCTGGGATTTGCTGTTTGCCCAGGAGGTCTCAGGGACTGGCAAACTTGCACCAGGTCCTTCTGAAAGAGACCAAAGATTCCCTGATGTCATCCTCTCTGAGACTGGATCTCGATTCCTTTCTGAGCCTAAAGAAAAGTTGCTTTATACATTGCTCTTTCCTGCCTTAGACAAAATCCTACAGAAAAAGTGAATATTGGGAAGGTGCCAATGAAGCATAAACTTATAACCTAGGTGGGGTGTATGAGGTTAGACGTGTGCCCCTACAGTGGTGTAGGCAGCTACAGAGGGTGGTGTTGAGCACCCACAGGCAACGCACACCCTCCTGAGAGGGGCTGGGATTCCTCTTCTGGTACAGACAGGCTTGGCCACTCAGACACGAGCAAGCATAACAACCACTGGGAAGCTCATTATAAGCAGATTCTGGGCTCCACCCTTGGAGGCTCTGACTTCAGGCCATGGTCCTAACTCCAGATGCCATTCAAAGTCACCCTACCTCACACTGTTGAATTGGAAGTTCCAAGGTGACAGCTAGGGGATGATTTGAAAGAGCTCACCAATTTGGAAATTACCACAATGAGCCAAAAGAATAACCAATAACGATATAAGATTGCCTAGCTTTTTAAAAATGCAACATACAAAACCCTAGAGGTAAAAGAGAAAAATGAGAGCCTACATATTCTCACGGTGAAGTGATTTTTTTATTTCACCAAAGATTTCATTCAAACAGTGAGATTCCCAGTATATTTAAAGTAGAATTCAATTGGAAAAAATTCTATTTGTGTGCCCAACTTTCCCCTGTTTATATATCTAGTTTATACATCTAGGGCATAAAGTGAGACAAACTTATACTAAAATAATTTAAAAAGTACCTGGCCATCCTTTCTCAGTTCCTTATACTTATTATGCCCTGAAAGTGAGCGGGGACGGGGGGGGGGGGGG